TACAAACATTTCTTTTGAAATTTAGATCTTTATAGATACTTAGCTGTTTTTATCACCTCCCATTGTACATTGCTCTTACACGAAACTAATTTGTCTGAAAAAGCCAATTAGCAAAACTATAAAAGATTGGAATAAAATTACTCTATGCTATTGTTAAAAAGTCGTAAATTGAATACATGAAACTCATTGGTGGCATGTGACTTTGGCATTCCAAAGATCTCTATCTGTACACCATTTAAAATTTTTAACAGTACTAAGCTTCAGTTTGACACAGTATTTGGAAATCAGATAAATGTTTAAAAACACTTCATGACTGACCTATGGAAATATTAATCAGATATGAAAAAACACCTTTTCTTTTAGGTATGAAAAAAAAACAGTTACCAGTAATTAGGAGTTCATAGTCAGTAGCCAAAAAAAAGACTTTTAATAATATTTTAACTTATATACAGCACAGTATCTGTCATGCTTATTAATTTGTACTTTCCCTATTGAGCTTACGAACAACAGTTGTATAAGAGATTTAATTGAGAGGACTTGTTTTAATTTCCATTTCAGCTTTGAATGTGTGGCCCTATTTCGCTTTAAAAATTGGTTTAATGTTGTTTTTGTTCTTTAATTGTTGGAATTGTTTTATTGTGATTTCACTTGCGTTTATATATCGCACTTCAATTATCGAAAAAGGTGACCATTTAAAATAAACTTGTAAAGCTTTATTGCTTACTATGTCCATTCTGAAAAGAAAAAATCTATTTTGTGAATCAAAATACAATGTAGAAAAACAAAATCAAAAGGAAGTACGGGTTAATAGTTTTATAAAGGGGATTTTTTTTCTCATCATAATTTTGTCAATACACTCGCATGTATAAAAATAACTTAAATGATATATTTCGTCAAAAATTCTGGAAATTGCTTTACTTTTTTTCTATATAATCTTTAGGTTAAGGTTTTTAAATGTTCAAATGTAATTTATCAACATGATAACTGTATATGTATGAGATCAAAGACCTAGCTAGTTAAATTTCTACAGAAGTATATTAAAGTGATGTTGCAGTTTGATTTTTTTTTAGGTAAACATTAATGCAAAGTCATGCAACTGTTTACACAAATATACTCAATGCAGGCCTTTGAAGATTATGTGAAAGTCAGATTTAGTTTATAGTATGCTGATTTAATTTCTCAATATTGAAACTTGATTGTAAATATTTTTGTTTTGATATGCAACCTAGTAGATGGGTTACACTTTCTAATAATTGCTGAATCACAAACCATGTGGTTTGAAAATCAAAGATTTTGAAATAGTTACTATGTTTGATCACAAATATAGAGATTTAAAGTATAAGAAAGTTTTACAATTTAATAAAAATGGGTTTTTCACACCCAACGTTTGATTATTTATAGGTGTAAAACCACCAAACATAGTTCCTCATATCTAACTGGATATGACATACTATGTTTTGGTGGTAATTTACACCTAAAGAAGTCGTAAATGTCAAATAATTGAATCTGATTTTTTTCCTTTGAAATGCTTGTTTTTTTAAGCATTACTATCAAGTTTTATCATAATCAGTTCAATAGTTTTAAAGAAAACTAATATAATGTAAGACATATCATCATACAGCAATTTGAAAAATCCAAATCATGCTGCATCATGATAAAATTAAGTGTGGACCAATACATGATAAAATATTCATCTCATCTACTTATAAACAGTTGATACAAAAGAAGACTCTTAGTTTTAAATTTATCAAAATTTTGAGCAGTTACCACAAATAAATGTAAGAAATGTAATTAAATCAGTAATTGAATTGTTCAAGCTGGTTGAACTATATCCCTTTAAAAGTTTACTGACAATAGCCCTGTTACTAGTTAATTTTCCCTCAAATATGTTTTTGAGTTTTATTCCCCATCAATATTATATTTTTCCAATATTTCAGTGAAATGGCATGAAATTTCAAAAATTGAGTGTGCATGCACACAAGGTCAAAGGTGCATGTGCAGTTTTCCTCAATAGATGGACAAGATTTGTCCTTCAAATTTTTTCTTTTTGGTTTGATAGACTTGTAAATTAAGATAAAGTACATTTTTATTGCAGATGTTTCATTTATTTCTCTATTGAGTATTGCTAAAGATAATGTTTTCCAGTGCTTGTAGTACTTTCAAACATTCTTTGATATGGTATTGTTTATTGATTAACATAATAAGTTGGGAGGGTTGAATACTAAAACATCTAGTTTAACCTCTTCATGTTAACAATGTTACACAGTGCATGTTCATGTGTATGTCCCAAGTCGATGAATGTGAGTCTTCAGATATATCTCAGTTTATAATTTCTTGTGAAATATTTGGTGTTAATGAGTCTGAACTTTTGTCATCTTTGCTTAGTTTATTGACAACCTGCCTTTAGGCTGCTGGTTTTTTCTTTTGAATTGTTTCACAGTTTGTCTGTACTGTGACCTATAATGGTTTACATCCTCATCCTTTGGTCCACAGGGCATAGGTTTTTCATTGGCATTCATACCACATCTCCCTACTTTTATATAGATTGAGATGATGGGAAGCTTGTTATAAAATAATGGTAAAGACATTTGTATGGTGTTAAAGAAAAATAATGAAAACAACACGTTATAAATTTCATACGTTCAAAGCGCTTTTATTTTTATTTCGGATTTACCTACATTAGGAACACTCAAAGCCGAATATTTGAAAGCCAAGGATGTATAAGGACCGAAAACATTGAAGAGCTATAAACCAAAAAGGACCTACAAAATAGCCAAATCCATCTAAGGCCAACTTTGCCTGAGGCTGTATGTTGACGTCTAGGTGTCTTTTTACATTTTTCTTGGTGTTGTTTAGTGGTTGTTTCATTGACTTTGACCACATTTCTCATTTCACTTGAATAGGTAACATGAAAAATAGTAGGAGGGGCATGACAAAATTAAATTGAAAAAACTGACATGAGAGATGGAATATGTGCATGTCAGAATATTCGTACAAAAAGCCAAATCCTGAGATCAGTGCATTTTTTACCTTAAGTGGACTATTTACCATGTAGGGTTACTATTGCTAACTCTATTTATATCGACTAAAACTTAAGGGTACCTTAACGGACTATTTCCTTAAGGTAAGAGAAGATCAAGGATATTAAAGATATACATGCATATGTAAAAAAGCAGTTGAAAAATGTCAAGATTGTTAAATACTTTGATAATTATTAAGTTTTTTCACATAAATATGTAAATTGGAAGTCTTCCCACCCAAGTCTATACAATCTTAAGTCATTTTGTATTGCATAACTTTAGTTAAGTTTGGTTTGTTTTATTCAAGTCACTAATCGCTATGAATTAATTACTTGTAATACAATAGTGGGTGTGTCACCATGACCTGTGTAACACGACCTGTGTAATATGACCTGAACAAGTTATCTGGTCCGTTTCACTAGTTTGAATTACATGTATACATGTACATGTACTGAAAATACCTTGTACCTGACTGTCAAAATGTCTCAGTATAGGACAATGTCAGAAGGAATCATAAATATTCCAGTAACAAGACTTTAAAGATTTCAGTTTACAAAATATCACAGTTGACAATAGGGAGACTGGAGTCCACATCTCATTTATTTTCTGAAGGACATGATAAAAAAAGCAGACATAAAAAAAAAATTTGGTTGAGCTAATTAATATTTCTTCCCCCCTTCCCCCCCAAAAAAAATGCATTGTCCTTTATATTTGAAAAAGTAAAATATTTAGAAAAAACCACTAGTGTACAAGTCAGGAGCCTGTAATTCAGTGGTTGTCGTTGGTTCATGTCTGTCATATTTGTTTTTCGTAAATTGTTTTATTAAATATTAGGCCATTAGTTTTTTCAATTGAATTGTTTCATATTTTTCATGTCAGTGCCTTTTATAGCTGACTATACGGTATGAATTTTTTAATTGTTGAAGGCCGTATGGTTGCCTATCATTGCTTACATCCACTTTATTTGAACTTTGGTGGATATTTGTCTCATTGGCAATCATACCTCATCTCCTTATTTTTATATGAACACAGAGAACAAATATCGTTTGGTTTTTTATTTTGTTAGGTTGCTGTCTCATTGACAAATACCCAACATCTCCTTTTATTCATATAATTGAACATCTTTAAAGCAATTATCATTCTTGAAATCAATTATACCTTTTTGAAATTTCTTATTTTAAAATCATTCAGTTTCATTTATTGAATTGTATTTCAGAAAAAAACAGATTTTGGCAAAGTCACTAAAATATGAAAAAGAAGTATTGTTACGCATTGATAGAACTAAACTAATATGATTTAAAAGAAAAGATGTTTAGGTCAACCATAAGTAATGAATGTTCATGTGTTTTAATAGTACAAAAAAAGTAGATGTATCTACATAGATTATCTTGTATTGATTGACTGTGTGATAATGCAATGAATAAGCTTGATTGTTTCATTTTAGATTAACAACGAATAGGTGCACTGCACTACTTGGCAAGGATTCCAAGATAATTCTACTCTGATTAGATAGATCAACATGATTTTATACATGAAAGTGTTGTATTAATTATATGTCCCATATTGGGAGAATTCCACTCTCATTCTCTATGCATTCTTGCAACAGGGGTCTAGTGATTAACTAACATGCCTTCTTTTTCCAGTGGCATATCATTTCCCAACCATCTATCTAGATCTAATTACTTTGCAATTGCACATTCAGTTTATTGTATAATGTACTTTTAAAACCGTTGTACTTAGATGGTCTCCACTTTCTCACGTTAGATTTTCCTATACATACTGAGGTTTTCTAAACAAAACTTTAAAGTGTGCCTGGCCATTGATCTAATCTTTATTTTCAGGAGTTGAAAAAAATCAGCGTTTTTTTAAAACATTGTTCCAGTAGAACAATCTTGCCTTGTAACATGTAACACAGAGAAACACACTGATATCAACTTGTATTGTCTTGATTCATTTAACCTTTTTTTCTATTTATTTCAGAGGAACACACTATGGTCACCTAACAGTTGTTCCATATGTACATGTGAAGATCCTGTTGTTATGTGTGAGAATGTCAGATGTTCAAGTCCAAACTGTGATTCTAAAAAGGTAAGTCAATAGTTCCAGTGTTTCCATTCAAATTATATTCTTTGATTTTTTGTCTTGGTAATAATTTGAGAAATGAGAATAAGTTTTATAATCATTGTTTAAGAAGTAGCTCTTGAGTTAAGTGCAGAAAGTTATCAGCTTCATCGCCTTATTTTAACTTAAACTTCGATATTTCGATTTTCTCCTGTCTTTCTCACTTAAACTTCTATATTTCAATATTCTCCCGTCTTTCTCACTTAAACTTCTATATTTCAATTTTCTCCCGTCTTTCTCACTTAAACTTCTATATTTCAATTTTCTCCCGTCTTTCTCACTTAAACTTCTATATTTCGATTTTCTCCCGTCTTTCTCACTTAAACTTCTATATTTCAATTTTCTCCTGGTTTTCTCACTTAAACTTCTATATTTCAATTTTCTCCTGTCTTTCTCACTTAAACTTCTACATTTCAATTTTCTCCTGGTTTTCTCACTTAAACTTCTATATTTCAATTTTCTCCTGGTTTTCTCACTTAAACTTCTATATTTCAATTTTCTCCTGTCTTTCTCACTTAAACTTCTATATTTCAATTTTCTCCCGTCTTTCTCACTTAAACTTCTATATTTCAATTTTCTCCCGTCTTTCTCACTCAAACTTAGCCAAAAAAGATGATAAGACCAAAAGGGACAGCAGTAGGCCTCCAATAATTAACAGTGTGGCTAATATATATATATGGTCATATGAACAGGTGCTGAAGGCTTGAATGGTGACCTTAAAACACAATCAGAAGATGCAAAATTTGTCACATACAAGGAAGAAAAGCCTACATTAAAATTCATGCTAAAAAACTTAGCCACCTCTGTGCTTATGCACAAAAAATCTTTTCTGTTGTCCAACTTTAAATCCCCTTGGGGGTCGTTGATGATTGTTGTCCATAAGTAAGGTGAACCTGGACACTCCATGAATCCACATATGTATATGTACATACTGTCAAGGTCATGGTGAAAGTCATCACAAATTGTTTCCTATCTGTACTAGTGGATATTTCAATGTTAAATTTCGTAACATTATTCTATATATAAAAGTTGAAACATTTATACTTAGTGCTGCATCAGCAGTAAAATTTCTGGCCTCCATTGGCATAAGTTATTTTTAAATGGAATAACCTTGATTACTTCTGAAATTACATCACAATTTACTTATATGTTTATATGTGTATATCTTTATTTGTAATAAGTAAAATGCAGATATCAGAATGAAAATAAACAAGACAAAACAGAGAATAGAAGCTTGCCGCATAAATGCACACATGGCAAATTGAAGTTTACGTATGAATGTATTCCATTGAAAAGACAATTGTAAATTCAGAACTTTGGCAATTAGAAGGCGAAATTTCTGGTAAAACATTTAATCAAAGTTACATCAACAGATGTAATGTCAGTAAATTATGAAATAACAAGATTTGTTCTTTTCTCTATCTGGGTAGAAGCCAAGATGGTTGGTATAAAGGTGATGATTCTTTTGAGATTTGGTTATCATTTATAAATTTGTTTTGCAGAATTATAAAACATTATAAACTGACATTTTTATCATTTATCAACATACATTATGCTGAGTGGCTAAGTACATTATGAAAAATTCTTGTGTCAGCCAAATAATTAGACCTGTCTTTGTAAGTGTTAAACTCAAAGTAGGATGTTTGTTTATAAAATATTATATTGAGGTTTCTTAATTAGATTAGATCCATACAGGTTTCTTTTGAAATCTAATCAAAATTAATTCAACCTTCTGCAAAAACAAAATGAAAGACCTATAAAACTTCCAAATTTCTGAACTTTGATTGACAAAATGCAATTCACAACTTTCAAAACCAGTTTTACCGGTGAGAGAGAGATATAAACCTGTGACTGGTGAGTTAGGAGCAAAATATGTCAAATGACCAAATGTTACATCAAGTGTATTTTTAAATTTTTGCTGTTGAAAAGATTGAAATTTGAAGTTTTAAAATTAGGTGAGAGGCAGTTATAATTTTTACAGGAACATGCAGCTATGTATACTCCTAGCCATGAAGCCTCCGTCATACACTAAATTCAGGTTCCAGATTTTATTTTGGCTAACCCAAATTTTCCATTGTTTGACCGCACGTATGAAGTTTGAAAAACAAATTATATAACGTCAAATGTTTTCAGTTCTGACCTCTAAAAATTCAGAAGTTCATGTAATTTCCTTCAGTTTCAGACAAACTTGTATTGGTCCATATAAATAATAGATGTTGTTATATATCAATGAAACTAAAACCCAACAACACAAATAACCAACTAACATCTTAAGATCAACATTAGTATATTATATATTTAGATATGACAATTATTACAATATGATTTTTCCTGTAATTTTTTTCCACAATGAAATTAATGGATTGAAACAGAAAATTTGATGTTACATTTTTTTGTCGAGCCTGCGACTTTAATCGCAGAAAGCTCGACATAGGGATAGTGATCCAGCGGCGGCGGCTGCGTTAACTAACTTCTTAAAAGCTTAATATTTCAGAAGGTAGAAGACCTGGATGCTTCATACTTTGTATATAGATGCCTTATGTTACGAAGTTTCCGTCTGTCATATGTCCATTGTCCTTGACCTCATTTTCATGGTTCAGTGACTACATGTAAAAAAAAGTTAAGATTTTTTGTAATGTTAATTTCTTTCTTATTATGAGTAATAGGACAACTTTATTTGGTAATTGCGTACCTTGCAAGGTCCTCATGCCTGTCAGATAGTTTTCACTTGACCTAGACCTCATTTCATGGATCAGCGAACAAGGTTAAGTTTTCGTGGTCAAGTCGGTATCTCGGATACTATACGCAATAGGTCTACTATATTTGGTGTATGTAATAATTGTAAGGTGTACATGTCCAACTGGCAGGTGTCATTTGACCTTGACCTAATTTTTTGGTGTATGTAATGATTGTAAGGTGTACATGTCCAACTGGCAGGTGTCATCTGACCTTGACCTCATTGTCATGGTTCAGTGGTAAAAGTTAAGTTTTTGTGTTTTGGTTTGTATTTCTAATACTGTATGCAATAGGTCAACTATATTTGGTGTATGGAAATATTTTACGATGTACCTGCCAGTCTGGCAGGTTTTATTTGACCTTGACCTCATTTTCATGGTTCATTGCTCAATGTTAAGTTTTTGTGTTTTGGTCTTTTTTTCTTATACTGTATGCAATGGGTCAGCTATATTTGGTGTATGGAAATATTTTACAATGTACATGTCAGTCTGGCAGGTTTTTTTTTACCTTGACCTCATTTTCATGGTTTATTGCTCAATGTTAAGTTTTTGTGTTTTGGTCTGTTTTTCTTAAAATTTAAGCAATAGGTCAACTATATATGATGTATGGAATGATTGTAAGGTGTATATGTCTGTCTGGCAGGGTTCCTCTGACCTTGACCTCATTTTTATGGTTCATTGATCAATATAAAATTTCCATGGTTTGGTCTGTTTCTCTTATACTATAAGCAATGAGTCATCTATATTCAGTGTATGGAATGATTGTATTAAAGGTGTACGTGTATTTCCAGCTTGGTTTATCTGACCTTGACCTCATTTTCTTGGATCATAAATGTTAATGTGATACTTGTAAAACTTTATATTTAAGACTATCAACATGAAATCAATGGTCAGTATAGTAGGCGAGACATTTCAGCATGTGCACTCTTGTGTTGAATGAACAAAACTTTAAAAACATTATGCATTAAGTTTGATACTATGTTAGTGTGTATGTACAAGCTTAGAGATGTTTATATTGTAATTATTGAGAGAGTAAAACTTATACAATAACTACATTTGATATTTTGTAGGGAGAATATTTACAGATACCGGCAGAAGGATGTTGTCCAGAGTGTGTAAGGAGAATGTCACCTTGTCAGTATGAATCCCAAACAACTCCAGTAAGTCATTTTAGGATACCAGTCATATACTGGGTCAGTAGCATATAAGATACCAGTCAGATACTGGTTCAGTAGCATATAGGATACCAGTCCGATATCAAGTCAGTAGCTTATGATATGTATACTTTGTGGCTTTCAGTCAGACACTCTCAGCAGCATATGCATATAGTTTTAGGGTATCAGTCAGATACTGGATCACCAGCTAAAGTATAGTTTAATGATACCAGTCAGATATGTTAAAGTGAATCTGGGATTTGTCGAGCCTGCGACTTCTGTCGCAGAAAGCTCCACATAGGGATAGTGATCCGGCGGCGGCATTAACTTACTACTTAAATGCTTTATATTTCAGAAGGTGGAAGACCTGGATGCTTCATACTTTGTATATAGATGCCTTATGTTATGAAGTTTCCGTCTGTCATATGTCCATTGTCCTTGACCTCATTTTTTGTAATGTTAATTTCTCTCTTATTGAGAGTAATAGGATAACTATATTTAGTATGTGCATACCTTGCAAGTTCATCATACCTGTCAGACAGTTTTCATCTGACCTCAACCTAATTTCATGGATCAGTGAACAAGGTTAAGTGTTTTGGTCAAGTCCATATATCAGATACTGCAAGCAATAGGTCTACTATATTTGGTGTATGGAATGATTGTAAGGTGTACATGTCCAACTGGCAGGTGTCATCTGATCTTGACCTCATTTTCATGGTTCAGTGGTTAAAGTTATTTTTTTTGTTTTTGGTCTTTTTTTCTAATACTATATGCAAAAGGTAAACTATATTTGGTGTTTGGAAATATTTTACAATGTACATGTCATTCATGCAGGTTTTATTTGACCTTGACCTCATTTTCATGGGTCATTGCTCAGTGTTAAGTTTTTTGTTGTTTGGTCTGTTTTTCTTAAACTATAAGCAATAAGTCAACTATATTTGGTGTATGGAATGATTGCAAGGTGTATATGTCTGTCTGGCAGGTATCATCTGACCTTGACCTGATTTTCATGGTTAATTGGTCAATGTTAAATTTTTCATGGTGAAGTTTGTTTCTTAGATACTATTAAAACAATAGGTCAACTATATGTAATGCATAGAATGATTGTAAGGTGTACATGTCTGTCTGGCATAGTTCATCTGACCTTGACCTTATTTTCATGGTTCATTGGTCAATGCTAAGTTTTCCTGGTTAAGTTTGTTTCTTAGAAACTATAAGGAATAGGTCAACTATATATGAATTTAAGGTGAACATGTATTTCCAGGTTGGTTTGTCTGACCTTGACCTCATTTTCTTGTATCATGTTAAGTTTATGTGATACTTGTAGTAAAGCTTTATATTTAGGACTATCAACATAAAATAAATGACCAATAAAGCAGGCAAGACATTTCAGCGTGTGCACTCTTGTGAATTTATATCAATTGTTTTAATTGTCTGTACATGTATATTTCTACAAAGAAACACTGCTTGTATTACAAAAATCAATCAAAGACAGGCATATCTGCTTAAATGATCTTGAATGGATTTTTTATTCTAAAATATTTTGACTGTTGCAGAAAAAATAATAATGATTTGAAACACTCACTTGAACATGATACATGAATTGAAAAAAAGAAATCAGTGGTTGATGTTTTTCCTGTTTTTGATTGACAATTTTGTGGTTGCTATGAGGGTCTGTAGGGGATTCTTTATTTTTTGATGTTATTTTTCTCTGTTCTCAATAATGATGCTCATTATGGTCTATTCTTTATATTTTAATTAGCACCCCATTATTCTCTATCTTAAATTTTTGTTTTGCTATTGTGCTATTTTTCTCTTTTCTTTTTTTTTTTGACCCATTTTTCTGTAGCGTTGGCCAATTAGTCTCTATTCTGTAAACCTCATCCAGACCCTGTGCTGTATATATGGTTTAAAATATTAATATCTCACACCATGTTTCAAGTTGGTTAACTATCCTGTGGTGACATTGGACTGAGATTCCTGTCTAACTAAATCTCACAAGTGAGACCATACACATCTTTTCCTATGACATTTGGGCATTTGTATTTAAATTTTAGACAAACTATAAACAAAACTTTGATCATAAAAAACTTTTTATAACATTTTTTAACACAGTTACACTGTTGCTACTTCTATTCATATACCCCACACAACAGAAAGAAATGTTTTTATAATTGCGAAAAAGAGCAGACTAAAATAAACAAAATTTGTAACTAAAAATATTGAGCGCAATAAACCAGATACAAAATTCATTCTATTATCTTCCCTGAGGGGCAGTGAATTTTTCTGAAAAAAAAAAACAGCTTCAAAATGTTATTAATTCTGGAATTATATTCTGGATTTACCTTCATTAGGAATGCTCACAGCCGAATATTTGAAAGCCAAGGATGTATAAGAACCAGAACAGTTGAAGAGCTATACATGTATAACCAAAAAGGACCTACAAAATAGCCAAATCTATCTTAGGTCAACTTTGCCTGAGGGAGTTGAAACCTTAGTTTCTTTATAATTTCAAAATTTGTAAACGGACAATTTTAGAAAGGTTTGTTATAAATCATGTTGTACAGAAGTACTGACTACTGAGCTGATGATACCCTTGGGACTGATAGGTTATTTAAAATATGTTCTTGGAAAACTGTTATTTTATTCTACAGCATAATTCTGTATGGAGTCCAGACAGATGCAAATTTTGTCATTGTTATGATGGAGAGGTGACCTGTACAGATCAGTCATGTCCAGCTTTACGATGTCGCCCTGGTGAAGTTTTGCAAGTTTTAGCTGACCATTGTTGTCCTCAGTGCATCCCGACAGGAAGTAAGTACAAAGGCTTATGGGATAGATATTGTTTAGAAATGTGTTCGTATTTCTTTTCTACTTGTACAATGTATTCTTTAGTTCTGAGTGAACTTTGCAGACCTTTTTAACCATGCTATCTTTAAAACGTTTGTAAAAAACTTACTGAAACTAGAATAAGATATCTGTAAAATTGAGAATGGAAATGGGGAATGTGTCAAAGAGACAACAACCCGACCATAGAACAGACAACAGCAGAAGGTCACCAACAGGTCTTCAATGTAGTGAGAAATTCCCGCACAATCCTTCCCGTTAGGGGTTTAGTATCATACCATCATAACATATATGAGAAGAACATAACCCGTGTCATGCCAACAACTGGTTTTTAAATAAATGTGTTTAGTGCCGATGCAAAGACCCTATAAGTGAATCAATATTAACGCCAAAATATGCAATCTTTAATGACCTGACAACAGTATCGTAACTATATCCCTTCTTAATAAGTCTATTTAAAGGTTTTGTTAGCTTCAGAGGTGAATACTGACATTTTTGTGCTTTATAAAGAATATTTCCATAAAAAATTGGATGTGAAATACCTGAACGTGTAAGAAGTCTGCATGTTGAGCTATATTTACGAATGATGTCCTTATACCGATGATAAAATTTAGTAAATGTTTTGACTAGTTTGTGATATCGAAAACCCTAGTGTAATAATTTTTCAGTAATACATAAATTTCTCTCGTTAAAATCTAAAACATTGTTACATACACGAGCGAATCGTACAAGTTGAGATATATAAACACCGTAAGATGGTGACAAGGGAACGTCACCATCTAAAAATGGATAATTAACGATAGGAAATGAAAAATCATCTCTTTTATCATATATTTTAGTATTAAGCTTTCCGTTAATGATATAGATATCAAGATCGAGGAAAGGGACTGTAGTCTATAAACAGTGTTTGTCTCATCTGAGTGATCAATGTTACAGAATGTGAAACATAGGAATAGTGTTAACACTTTTATAAAGCTTTATATTTCAGATGGTAGATGAACTTGATAGTCCATACTGGTATCTAGTATACAGATGCTTATCATCTGAAGTTCCATCTGGCATATATCTTTTGTCATCCAACTCTAATTTCTAATGTTCAGTTTTTTATCACATGTGTTTTCAATGGCTATGAGTAAAACTTTATTTGGTCTATAGGAGCATTGCAAGATGTACATGCCTCTTGATCAAAATTAAGTTTTTATGATAAAGACAGTTCCTCAGCTACTATGAATATTGTGATATTTTTATTAACAAGAAAAATGGATTATTAATACACAGCATGTTGACATGTATCATCGCACATGCATTACCTGTCCTTATTGCCGATTGGGTATTTTATTTCAGCTTATATCTATTAATAACAACCAATGATATAAGGAATTCCCTACTGGCCACTCTTGACATCTCACTCTCTAATTGCTTTGTGAGATGTGGGAAGGGAACCAATGAGAACAAGGCCCTTATTTCAAATTATCCAATCGGCAGAGATAATTAATTAATTATCATCCTTTTTTTTTTAATTGCTGCGCGCCTCATTTAGGCATTCTAGATAATACAACTGCATGAAGCAGACGCATTGCAATTTGGCATTAGCGAATTTAAAATATATATATATATTGTCTTTAAACATCGAAAAATTTTACGGGAAAAATTGGTTTAATTCCTTGGAAATGGATATTTCGGCAACGTTGTTAAAACCAGTGAAAGTATAGAGAACTTTTGTCTGAATAGCTGAATTCCCGAGAATGATATTTAACAGTGATACACTGTAGACTTTTGTGCACATTCCGGCGATGGAATTTATTGAGATCTGCTGTTGACGTGTGTAATCCTTGCATACCGTGTTCTGGTGATGGAATTTATTGCGTTTCTCTGTAGACTTTTGTAGTTTTTGTCCTGCACGCTCCGGCGACGGAATTATCCGAGTCAGAAATGCTCTGCTTTAAACTTTTTTAACATTTGTACCAAATAGTATATTTGCGACTATAGGCGATATGGTGAGCGACAGTGAAGGCGAAGTAGATTTTCCACGTAATGTCGAGCAGGTACAGATGTGGGCATCCACAATGAAGCTGAATCCAAACACAGCTTCCGAATTAATTAGACTTGGCTTCGATTCTATGGAAGCGATTTCATTGATTGAAAAAGAGGATATGCCAGCTTTTAATATTCCGCTTGGGCAGCAAAAAGTGTTGATACGAGCAGTTGGAAAAACTTTCAAGGACGGTCGCGCTGAAGCTGGGAATATGGCGGACACGCACCCTTACCGAAATGAAAACGAGGCTACACAGAGAACTTCCGCTAGGATACAAAATGGCGGCACCAGCAACCAAGATGGCGACGGTGTAAACAACAAAGATGGCGACGATGTAAACAACAAAGATGGCGACGATGTAAACAACAAAGATGGCGGCGCCCATACGTCAAACCCCCGATCGGAGGATGCCTATGTGCAAGAGATCCTAAAGATGATTTCGAGGGAGAAGAACATTACAGGACAATTTGTGAATGACTCTCATAATTCTTCCACAGGTAGAGACAATTTGCTGGTCAATGACATTTACTCATGGAAAGACCCTCAAATATTTTTAAAGTCTACAAATTTTGATCCTAATGTGAATTTCTTTGATATAACTGATTTTGTACCTAATACTTTAGGGGGGCACTCAGAATCAGAGGAATTAGTTTCGGAATCGTCAGGGGGCAAATTAGTTTTCAAATCGGGGCCTGTCAAGCCTAAATTAGAAACATTGTCGGTAACACAATGGTCTATGGCTAATTTGTCCATAATGCATAAGTTGATAGCTATAGGAGAGTTACAATCATCCCAAGTTATGGATTATTTATCTTATACTATGCGCATTTATCTTTTTCTTTCGAGCTGTGAGTTGGTGTCTGTTTTTTTCCTTGATCGGGAATACCGACGCCTGCAAAAGCAACACCAATTAAGATGGGGTACAGACATTCCCCATCTCCATTCTGTATTTTTGAGGCCAAAGTTTTTGCAGAGTCAGAATTCCCGCATTGCACCTCAAACTCAGAGCTCGAAAGTAATGGCTAATAAACATGCAGTTACATATGCTTCTCATTCTCCGGGGGGAAGGATGATTTGCAAGAAATTCAATAGTCGTAGAGGCTGTTTTATGCCACACTGTAAGTTTGAGCATTCATGTGCTATACCTGCATGTGCTAAAAAGCACCCAGCATTTCAGCATACAAAAAACTAGATACAATGGTGAAGCCTACGCGTGCTCTTGATCTAATTTCATGGACTAATGAGTTAAGTGATGATTTTGACAAAGAATTTTTGTTATTTGGCATAGAACATGGATTTGACATTGTCACTAATGTCCCCCTACCAGAGAATGTACGCTCCAAAAATCATCCTTCTGCAAAGCCTAGTAGCCCTTTTTACAAACAGGCACATAAACAAATTTTAACAGAAATTGATAACGGAAACTATATTTTTGTCAATTCCCCCCCCAAAATTATCAGTCCGCTTGGGGTTATCCCTAAATCTGATGGCGGAGTTCGAATTATTCATGATTGTAGCAGACCAATAGGTTTTGCAGTAAATGATTTTGCAGGAGAATTTGATAAACAAAAATTTCAAACAGTAGATGATGCATGCAAGTTAGTTTCAAAAAATTTTTATATGTCAAAAGTGGACCTAAAGGCCGCTTACAGATCTGTCAAAATAAGTGAACAAAGTAGAGAGGTCACTGGGCTTACATGGACTTTTCCTGATGGTCATGATTATACTTTCATAGATAAAAAACTTCCGTTTGGATCAAAATTAGCACCTGGTATTTTTCATAGATTATCTCAGGCAATTCGCAGAATGATGTCACGTAGAGGCTTCACCATTGTGGCATATTTAGATGATTTTTTTATTTGCGAGAAGACAAAGAAGCGCTGCGCTCAGGCGTTAGCAATTTTAATTGCGCTGCTCAGGAAGTTAGGTTTTTGTATCAGCTGGTCTAAAGTAACAGACCCCTGCCAACAGATTGTATTTTTAGGGGTTGAGATAGATTCTACTACTTTAGAAACTAGACTTCCTATTGCAAAATTGCATGATTTGAAATCAGAATTAGCTGAATTTTTATTGCGTAAGCGTGCTTCAAAAAAGCAATTGCAATCCTTAGCGGGAAAGCTTAATTGGGCGTCTGCTGTGGTTCGAGGCGGGAGAGTTTTTCTCCGTAGAATTATAAACGGCATCATGCGATTAAAGCTAGATTGGCATAAATTGCGTCTGACAGGCGAAATATTGCAAGATATAAAGTGGTGGCATAACTTTATTTCAACTTTTAATGGGAAGTCAATTTTACTTTCAAAGGTTCCTATCACCTCTGTAGCTACTGATGCTTGTAAATCAGGTGGAGGGGGTGTCTATCAAAATGATTGGTTTTATGTAAATTGGGCAGAAGATCACCCCTTTGCTTTGAAACTTCACATAAATGAATTAGAGGCTTTCTCAGTGGCGTTAGCAGTAAAGCGATGGGCCCCATATTGGCGTGGTCAGCGTATTATAGTTCATTGCGATAATGCGGTAACTGTAAGTTGCATTAATAAAGGTACATCAAAAAATGCTATTTTGATGTCCTTTTTGCGTGAGCTCTTTTGGTTATCAGCAACGTATAATTTTCACTTGATAGCTAAGCATGTTCCAGGCAAAACGAATATACTAGCAGACTGTATTTCACGGATGCATGATCTACCTTTCTGTGAACAATTTTTGCGTGATTATGTTCGACCGCCACTGTATTTACAGGATCTTGTTAGGCACATGTCTAGTAATGCCCTTCGTTTTCTTTTATTTAGGCTCACTGGTATCGAGGGAGGTGAGATCACTGGATAGTATTGTTGCTAACTTTAGATGTCATACTTATGCTGAATCTACCAAAAAGACATATTTAAACTATTTCAAGTCATACGCAGAATTTTGTAGAAGATTAAATATTACCCTT